AGTTTTTTTTTAATGTGCAAGTCACCTTGAATAGCACAGAAATGGTTTGGCTGTTTTTAAAGTTTGTTTTATTCCTATTTTTTTCATTGAAAACTAATTCACATACACTTAAAAAAGGTAGATCCTAGACCAAAACGGTATTCCATTTTAACTAACAGTTCTCGAAATTCTTTTTTTAATTCTTTTATCTCATCCTTCTATTCTCACTCTGAGATTTTATAATCTTACCTCCAATAAACTGCTTCTATTGTCATTACTTATCTTCTCCACCCAGTTCCTCCCATTCTGCCTTTATTCTTTTTTTCTGAAATAAGATTTATAATTTATCTGAGGTGATTAATTTAATATATAAAGCACCAGACCTATAAGTCATGACAACAAAGAGATATATTTTAAAACCATTACCACAATCCAATATAAATGGTAGAAAAATTTTTAAAAATTGAATGATAAAAATCAAAAAATGTTCAACTTCTCTAAAGGACAGTAAGAATTCTGCTACTGATATATACTAAAAACCTATGTCACTATCTACTTGTATTGTATGATATTAGAGAACATTCTTAGTGGCTCATAAAACTGAAGATATGTTAAGTTTTAGTAGAAAATCAGAATAAAATATTTACATTAATTTTGCTAAGCAAAATATTCATTGCTATTTTGTTTGCTTAAAACAGCAAATCCTATAAATCATTAGACTATCTTATCAGTTATGCATTGGATGTTTCACATTTAATACAAAGTTTGGAAGAGTAGAAATACTCCACTAAGCAAGCAAACAGTAATTACTCCTTCATAATTACCATGTAACTTTATTACCAGCATTGTTATAATTATATTTTAAATATTCCCCATTTACGTGATAGACCATAATGTCTTCTAGCATATTACAGTCTGTAGCTTTTAACTGCATCTCACTCCACAAAGGCGTCTTTTTCATTTAGTCTCTATTTTAACTACTGTTGAAAGAGACTAAACAAAATTAATTGGCACCATAATACAGCAATAAGGAAATGGTAGACAAGATAATATTTCTGTGATACTGAAATCATCTCATTACTCAGAAGATTCACGATTAACATCTAAGATATAGTCTGTCAAGGAGCCAGTCGTAATTGAATCCATGTCTCTTAAACTTCTTTGTGCACACTAATCACCCAAGGATCCAGCTCAAATGTAGATTTTGATCCAGTAGGTCTAGGGAAGGACTCAAGAGTCTGCATTTCTAACAGGCTCCCAAGTGCTGACACCAGTGCTTCTGGATCCACTTTGAGTAGCATCACTTTCAAGTATTATGTATACCTATGTGTAAAATGTTATTAAAAATACACACACACACATATGTAAACTTAACCTTGATCTCTGCTGTAATCACTTCCCACCATGAAGCCTGGAAATTAATTGCTACTGTCAAAGGACTTAACACAAACAAAAGCAGCATTCAACCTATGAAAGTCTGCCAAGTAAGCACCAGGCAATTTCACTCTGAAGTGAAGTCAAAGAAGGCTTCCCAAAGAACCAAAGAACGTGACTTTTGAGCTAAATTTTGAAGGTTGATTAGTAGTTTGCCAGATGGAGGGTGTGTGTGTTGGCCATGCTGGGAAAGGAAATTCCAGGCAGGAGGAAGGCTTGATGAAAGATAAGATTAAGGGGACAAATTCTTATTTTCTAAACAAGGAGTTTGAACTTTATGTTGCTATATTTAGGAATCATCTAATCACTAGAAGATTATATAAATTTTAATTCATCTAATTTACTAGTGTTTTCTCTTCCACTCAGTGAAATACACCCCTTGGGAAACTAACAATCACAATTATACTCCTGTAATTCCAAGATAATATTATAGATCTATCCATCTTTTTTAAATGACATATCTGAAAATTTGATTCTGGGATATTATTTTTTAATTCATTTAGTGGTCCTATCTTTTTTTCTATTATGATCATCTTCAAATTAGTAAAGTAACAGCAGTTGTTTCTACTTAACGACATCAGTAAATATAAATAAATCATTATCAACATCCATAGCTTAATGGCTTATGAAGATCCATGAATATCAGGGTGGCTAAGATTTGAGGCTTCTGAGATACTGCAAAACACAGTTCACAAAGACATCTTAGTTGAAAGTTAAGAAAGTCTCACTCCATGATTTTAAAATTTATTTTAGTAGTAAAAATAATTTTTTGAAAGTTCTCTTTCTAATAATTGAAAACTTGAAGGTAGGTTTAATATCTAGAATCTCATATCGATGAGATTCCTTAATTTAATAATTAATGAGCTAGCATATTGTTGTTTGGTAATTTTGTTGCAAGGATGCATCTGCAAAATTTTTTGATGCTAGTGGATGGAAGAAATTTTAAGTTTAACAATTTGTTCAGGGCTTTTTTTTTCCTGACTACTCTGCCCCCTAATTTTTTAGCTTCCAAGATTTCACACGCACAAAAACGCTTTTAAATATGTATGTATGTATACATATATATTTAATAAATTTATAATAAATATAATAAATATTTGTGTGTATATATGCACACATATATATCAATTTCTTTGTTTATATAAATGTATGTATATATACATATATTTATTATATAAATTTAATTATATATATTTAATATATATTTAAACTAAAAAATTGGGAAAACGCAGAAGTTTTAGACATATAATTATAGATATATAATTGTTCTAAGGAAAGCAAACTGAGGGTAGAGATTACCTCTTTCAACAAATAAAAATTTCTTGGAACTTAGCTCTAGAACAGTTATTATTTAACATTTTAACATGGCATCTAGAGAATGAAAAACCCAGTAAAATCTGTTGCTGTGTGGATGGCACAATACTTTTCATAGTCGTAAAATACCACTTTGATGGATTCAAACTTCCAATAGTCACTCTTGCAATTGAATGAGAAAAATAAATAAAGATAGTGATAATAATAAAAACAAACAGATAAAGGAACACTCATTGTAGCTTACTTAATTGCATATTAACACACATAAGAGTTACATGACTTGCATCATACTCAAGAGATAATGGAAGCCAAACTTTGGTCATGTCTATATATATACATACATATATATACATATGCATATGTATGTATATATATATGTATGTATGTAGATATGTATATATGTATGTATATATCTATGCGTATATATATATACACATACATGCAATATGTGTAGATGTGTGTGTGTTTGTGTGTGTGTGTGTGTGTGTGTGTGTCATGTTCTACACATATATACGCTTTTGAAATCTAAAAGGGAATTTTCTTATGCATAGAGTTCTGGTGTCCAGTTACACTTTTGGCTTTTTATATGGAGAAATAATTTAGACTACTTCTAATGTGATGACTTTTATAATAACTTTTTGATTTAGCCATATTAATAAATGCGAGCAACCTAGCTGGGAGTGAGAATGGGGAGGAATGGGTTTTGGGGATCATCTATTAAGATAATAATGCTACATGTCAATTACTAAATTTTAGTGGCATATATAATAAAGATTTATTTAGAGCACACATTTGTGAGATGGCCTTGACTCATCTCACCTGGGCTTATATATTTTTCTATGGTCAACTGCACATTATGTACATACCTCTGCTGATCTTGGATGAGCTCACTCAAGTGTCTGGGAAGGGGCTGGCCATTGGATGACTTAGTTTGGCTTTGGCTTGGATGGTAAAGATGACTCGTCTACCTTTGGATCTCATCCTCCAGCAGGTTAGGCTGGTCATATTCATGTAGTCATACAAAGAAGCAAAAGAAGCAAACCTCAATGCTTAAAAATGTTGAAGCTTCTGCTTGGGCCTCATTTGCTGATATCTTATTGCTCAAAGCAATTCATGTGGAGTCAGACCGAGTAAGATTGAGAGGGCTCAACACTATGACATGAGGGGGAAAAAAAAAAAAAAAAGATATAGGGAAGGATAAAGAATTAATACAATTAATTTTCAGCAGAACATATTTTCCCAGGATATGGGGGGAGGAAGAAGTTCATTTTTGGTTTCAGACTGTAAACTTACAAATGAATATTTGGTTTATTTGAGCAAATTAACTAACAAAACACTCTCAGCCATATTAATGCATCAGTCAGGTTTGTTAGACCAATATAACTTTTCTTAAATTTATTCATTTTGTATATATTTGTAGTAATATCAAGTGGCAATTTTCCAGACAAGTAGGGCTGTGGAGGTGGCATCAATGCTCAAAGAATAATTTTTGCCTTGTTACATTTTAAACAAATTGTCATTTGTAGTGTCACTGTTGGAAGAGGAGTTCTGTCATACTTTAGTTTGGGTCACTTTTTCTTAGGAAATAAGTTTTCATAAGTCACCCAGCATCACAATATTCCCCCCCCCCAGTCCATGATTTATTTGTTAGGGCCATATACTTTGGCTATATTTTATCATGTGGGTTTACTTAATATTCAAATAATTAGTTTCCTTGGGATTCTAACTATATTTTACTGGGGAACTGGAGTGAAAGGGGTTGAATGAACAATCAATTTTTTAGCTTTTATGAAATTGCAGAGGATAATGAGAAAAAAATAGCTAATTTGGTTGCGATTAGCAAAATAGCTCCCTTTGTCGAAAGAAGCTCCTAAATATTTCTTTCCCAAATAGAATCCTACAGTTTTTACAGTGAAACATAGTTGATATGAGGAAGAATTATTTATCCAAACAGAAACGCTGCTTATGAATATGTTTCTAACATAACTGGAAGGGGTCGACACTGCCTCTTTACTTCTAAGGCAAGTTCACATTCTGCTTCAGCTGATTATTTTTTCAACAATATTTGTTTTAGTCTTTTATGGTCTGCCAGTACTTTTTTGAAGACCAGTTAGAATAGCAGCCAGCAGAGTTGAGACTAAAAGGGGGCAAATATCTCTCCAGAAGCAAGACTACTTCAAAAGCTATGCATTACAAAGCCCTACTGTGACTTAAATCATCACTTATTTTTAAGGGGGATTTGCTAATGTAGAATTGGTTTCTTATCTTCCCAGCCCCTAGTGAGCCTTTACTGTGCAAATTCGCTGATGGAGGACAAAAGAAGAGGCAGAATCAAAGCAAATACACCCAGAATGGAAGGCCTTGGCCCAGGGAAGGAGAGGTGAGTCCTGGTTGACTTGTGCTCAGAAATTTGGCAGCAAACATCCCTCGAAAGGGTGGGAAGACAGATATTTGGGGCCATGATGAAATCAGGTCCTGTAGAAAACCAAATGTCTTCAAAGGAGGCAAATGAGCAGGACTATGTTAATGTGCTCAGTACAAAA